TGAGTTTTATAATCTTAAGTCTCAAAGCATCTGGGAATTTGTAAAGAATTTCTAACGCTCTGTCACTTGGTTTTTACCCTTTTTTGGGACCATTAGCCATTTACTGCTTTTGATTTTTGGTCCCTGTCTCTTTAACACTCCTGATAAATTCGTCTCTTCTAGACTTCAGCAGATTCACATGAAAATGATGACTCTGTGGTTTCTGCCCTGTCCTGACCCAACTTCCTGAAGATGACCTGGGGCCCCTAGATCAAGAATTCAGAGATTTCTCTTCCCAGATATGCAGACCCTACAGCCCTGACCAGCCTGAAGCAGCTACAGAAGTGAGACCATCACCTTACATCTCCCCTTAAGATTAAGGGAATGGACTCTCTGATGGGGGAATGAGGCAGGAGGTGTTCAGTTTGCATGGGTTCTGGTTTCAGGACACACCTCTGGGTTTCAAGCCACTCCCCCAGGTCTGAAGCCCCACACTGTAGGCCCTCCCCTAGAGGAGAGTTATTGGTGCTTGCTAGGCCTATTTTTGGCACCAACACAGGAAGACTGAGACCACAAGGGGGGGACTGATGCAAATCCAGTGGCTGAACATGCTCAGTAGAAAGGAGTTATATAACCCTAGCAGCTGAGCATGCTCAGTAAAGTGGAATTTATCCTTGAATGCTCTTCCACCAGAGGCACTCAAGAGCACAGAATACAAAGTTTAATTTAAAATGTCACAATAATGATAATGTAAAAAAGAGCAAAATAAGTGGAATATAAACATTTATAAAGAGGGGGGCTTTGTGCCTTAAAATGTAAAACACTGTGTCTAGTTAAATATTTTTTTAAAAAAAGAAAGCAAAAAGTTGCTAAGTAATTTTACTCCATGGTGTATGTCCCAAGGAACACCTGCATTTATTCTAAGACATCCTACAAAATACTAAAACACAATGTTCAAAATACAAAAGGACAAAGAATCTAACATAACTCCCCCTAAATCCCACATTTTTTTGGAAGATGTAATTTAAACATAATTTTTTAAAAGAAGACTTTACTACCTGGAAATTAACCTTTTTTTTTTGGTCAGACAATCTTCATTACTGAAGGATTTTAAAATTAAAATTATTTTAGAAAGCAGAAACGTTGAGGAAATTGCTAGTGGGTGTAACAACTTACGTCAACATCAGGAGAAACCTGCAGACACTGGGACAGAACACTGGAGGGCAGAGGCTGGGGGGCTAGCAATGCATGTGCTGTATGTGATCTGCATAATCACAGAAAGGACATCACTGTTAGAGAAAGAAAATGTGAACAGACACAGGAAATGCTTTAATAAAGACAACTGAGTTCAAGTGTTTATAAGAAAAACACAGATAAACCTCCACTCAGACCAGATTGGGTCCGATGGCAGATAACCACTGAACGGTGACATCTCTCCAAGACGAGGAAGATTTGAAAAGTGAAATCTTTATGCCAATGGCCAGAAGTTGGAAAATACTTAAATCCATGGATTTATTAAATAGCAAAAAGTAGGACACCAAGTAGGGACTTTTAAATGAGTTACACATTCAGGCAGCAAAGAGAAGTGGAGCTGGCAAGAGAGATACATAAATGTAGACAGAGAAATGCTCCCACAGAAAAGAAGAGGAAGCGAAGAGAGTGCAGAGACACATAACTTCAGAAACGGTACTTCCAAGAGAAACCTGTTTCCTGCCCCCCTCAGGTCGTCCTCTGGACATGGGCCTGCAGAGCTCCTCTGACCCAGAAGGAAGAAGAAATTCGCTTTGGTCTGAGCAGTGAGGAAGATCGTGTCTGAGGGATGTTCTGTGCTTCGTTGCTCTTTGGAGATGTAATATCTGTCATCCAGTAATGCTGGTTCATGCCCTCTATCAAGATTCTCCATCCTTCTCTTGGCAGGTGCAGTCTTAGTTGCCTGCTTAGAGGCAGGAGCCTCTAAGTTTCAGAGAAGTGTATCCCTTTAGGCAGAAGAATTCATTTTGTTATAAAAAATGTAACTTTAACCTGCACTGTTGCCTGTATAACTTTAGCCTGCACAAATTGTAACAGAAAAGTATGACTTTAACTTAACCTGCACAAATTGCTCCTGTAAGCACTTACTAAAAACAAGGAAAACATATCTAAAAGTATTTTAAGTGAAGCAGCTTTTTAGAGGTCAAAGCAGAACTAGACACACATTCCAGAGGCCAGCCAGTCTCAACTAACCAGCCCTCTTATCTTCAGGACACCTGCAGAGCCCAAGTGATTGTTAAGCCTGACCATGAATAAAGTCTTTGTCCAAAGAAAGTGTATAAAAACTCCAATGTTAAGGCCTCAAGGGCTAACCAGCCCTCCTATCTTCAGGACACCTGGCAGAGCCCAAGTGATTGTTAAGCCTGACCATGAATAAAGTCTTTGTCCAAAGAAAGTGTATAAAAACTCCAATGAAAAGAGAGGGGGAGCTGCTTTTCTGAAAGGCAAAGCGACCCAGCATGCTGAAGTAAAACTCCTCTTGCTTAATTGCAGCAATCTCTTGTCTTGTTGTCTTTGTGAAGTGAGCCATCCCTGGCGTGGGATTTGTGCAAAGTGCATGGGTCTTACATTTTGGGGGCTTGTCCGGGATTGGCTCGCTCTCCCTGGGACCAAAGGCTAGAGAACAGAAGATTGCTCAAGCAAGGTACTGTGGTTGTCTGTCTGACTGTGTCTGTTTCTTTTGCTGTCTGCTGTGAGTTGTCTGTTGTCATCTGGTTTTGGTAGCTCAAAGAAGGAATCACCAGTCTGATTTTAGATTTTCTGGGGCTCTGAAGAGGAGCCATCTGTAGCGGTCAAGCGGCGGGGCAAATGTGCTGGCACGCCACAGCCACAGGAGTTCTGGAGGACGCTCCAGGTTCCTCTGTAGGAGACGAATAAGTTTGGCTCCACAGGAGTTCTCTAAGAAGGAGACTCCTCCCGAGTTTTCTGATAATCTGGTTGTAGCAGCGCTCATGGCAGGGGTGCATCGGTGTATTGTTTCTTGTCTGTCTGGTTGTGTGTGTGGGGACTGATGGGTTTCTGGGGCGACATAGGGCAAACTGTCTCAACTCCTTTGAGTCTGACTCTGAAATACTGGACTGACGTGAAATCCAGAGCTGATGGTTTGTCTGTGCCAATTAAAAAAAATAAATGAGTAACACTTTGTTCTGAGGAGTGGCCAGCTTTCCAGCTCGGATGGCCTGCTGAAGGTACCTTCTCTCTGCCGCTGATCATGGCAGTGAAAAGGAAAATTTTCAATTCTGAACATCTCCCAGAACAGACATTTTATATTATTGGCCTGATTGCAGCATCTCTTGTCTTGTGGTCTTTGTGAAGTGAGCCACCCCTGGTGTGGGATTTGTGCAAAGTGCACGGGTCTTACATTTTGGGGGCTTGCCCGGGATTGGCTCACTCTCCCTGGGACCAGATACTAGAGAACGGAGGATCACTCGAGTAGGTACCACGGTTGTCTGTCTGACTGTGTCTGTGTCTTTCGCTGTCTGCTGTGAGTTGTCTGTTGTCATCTGATTTCAGTGGCTCAAAGAAGTAATCACCGGTCTGATTTTAGATTTTCTGGGGCTCCGTAGGGGAGCCATCTGTAGTGGTCAAGCGGTGGGGCAGATGTGCCGGCACACCGCAGCCACAGGAATTCTGGAGGACACTCCAGATTCCTCTGTAGGAGACTCCTTCCGAGTTTTCTGATAATCTGGTGGTAGCAGCACTCATGGTAGGGGCGCATCGGTGTTTTGTTTCTTGTCTGTCTGGTTGTGTGTGTGGGGACTGATGGGTTTCTGGGGCGACATGGGGCAAACTGTCTCAACCCCTCTGAGTCTGACTTTGAAACACTGGACTGATGTGAAATCCAGAGCTGATGGTTTGTCTGTGCCGATTAAAAAAATAAATGGGTAACACTTTGTTCTGAGGAGTGGCCGGCTTTCCAACTCGGATGGCCTGGTGAAGGTACCTTCTCTCTGCCGCTGATCACGGCAGTGAAAAGGAAAATTTTCAATTCTGAACATCTCCCAGAACAGACATTTTATATTATTGTCTGGGAAGATTTAGTCACGGATCCTCCTTCCTGGGTCCGTCCCTTTGTTCCTTTAACAGGTCCAGCGGCTGTATTTGCTCTCTGAGGAGCAAAAAGGAAACCGGAGGTGTTGCCGTCCACCGACCCGGACTGGCTTCTTTCTGACCCTCCTCCCCAGCCTCCTCCTTTCAGATCGCAGGCAGCTTCTGACCCCCCTCCCCACCTTCCTCCTTTCCGATCACAGGCAGCTCGACCGTCTGCTCTGCCAGACGAAGGCCCACCAGAGAATGAACCAGAACCAGAGGGAGGGCCTGCTCAAGGGACACGCAGTAAACGAGTGGCCCCTCCAGATGCTGTGACCATCTGCTCCACCGGAGGAGAGCCCACCAGAGAATGAACCAGAGGGAGGGCCTGCTCAAGGGACACGCAGTAAACGAGTGGCCCCTCCAGATGCTGTTCCTATTTTCCCCCTGCGGGCTTACGGCCCCCCTGATGAAGAAGGCAATCAGCCCTTACAGTATTGGCCTTAGGAGAGCCCACCAGAGAATGAACCAGAGGGAGGGCCTGCTCAAGGGACACGCAGTAAACGAGTAGCCCCTCCAGATGCTCTTCCTATTTTCCCCCTGCGGGCTTACGGCCCCCCTGATGAAGAGGGCAATCAGCCCTTACAGTATTGGCCTTTCTCTTCCTCTGATCTTTACAATTGGAAATCTCAGAATCCTCCTTTCTCTGAAAACCCCCAAGGTCTTACTAACCTTGTAGAATCTCTCCTCTTTACTCATCAGCCCACCTGGGATGACTGCCAGCAACTTCTCCAGGTCCTGTTCACCACAGAGGAGAGACAACGAATCCTCCTTGAGGCTCGAAAGAATGTGCCAGGGGCTGATGGGCGACCTACTCTCCTTCCTGATGTTATAGATGCAGGTTTCCCATTGATCAGACCAAACTGGGACTTCAATTCGGCTGAAGATAGGGAGCACCTAAAGGTCTATCACCAGGCTCTAATGGCAGGTCTCAGAGGGGCAGCAAAATGCCCCACCAATTTGACTAAGGTGAGAGAGATAACTCAGGGGTCCGATGAGTCGCCGTCAGCATTTCTAGAAAGACTCATGGAGGCATTCCGTCGGTTTACCCCATATGACCCTGGTAGTGAAAAGCATAAGGCTACAGTGACGGTTGCCTTTATTGATCAGTTTAGCAGGGACATCAGAAAGAAGCTGCAGAAGCTCGAAGGGTTGCAAGATAAGTCATTAAGAGAATTAGTGCAGGTGGCTGAAAAGGTTTATCATAACAGAGAGTCAGAAGAAGCTAAAGAAATAAAGAGAGAAAAGCGCCAAGAGAAAAATTTTCACAGACTTCTGGCCACTGTAGTTAGGGAAACCAGAGAGCCTAATAATATGGTGCCAAGCAATAAGAAGGGACCCCTGGCAAAGGATCAATGTGCTTGCTGTAGGGAGAGGGGACACTGGGTGCGAAACTGCCCTAAGAAAAAGAAAGAACCTCAAGCCCCCAAAGTCTCGACCTTGCAGGAAGACAGTGATTACGGGAGACAAGGTTTGGGTCCCCTCCCCGAACCCAGGGTAACTCTTGAAGTGGAGGGGAAGCCTATTCAGTTCGTGGTAGACACAGGAGCCGAAAATTCAGTATTGTTACAAGCAAAGGGACCTCTTCTCAAGAAAAAGTCGTGGGTACAAGGGGCTACAGGGTACAAACAGTACTCCTGGACTACCCGAAGAACAGTGGACCTAGGCGTGGGCCGGGTATCCCACTCGTTCATAGTCATTCCTGAGTGCCCCTACCCACTGCTGGGAAGAGATCTCCTCACCAAAATGGGTGCACAAATTCATTTTGACCCCAAGGGACCTCGGGTGCTAGATCAGCAAGGGAAGCCTCTCCAGGTATTAACCCTCAGGTTAGAATATGAATACCAATTGTTTGAAAAGTGTGGGCAGCAGACTGGGCAGATGGACTGGTGTTTAGAAAACTACCCCCAGGCATGGGCAAAAACAGCAGGAATAGGAAAAGCTAAGAACCTGCCCCCCATCCACGTAGAATTAAAAGCTCAAGCCAGCCCTATAGCTGTCCACCAGTACCCAATGACCAGAGAAGCACACGAGGGCATCCAACCCCACATTGCCCACTTGCTCCAGCTGGGAATCCTACGGAAGTGCCAATCAGCGTGGAACTCGCCCTTGCTGCCAGTTCAGAAGCCTGGGACTAATGACTATCGACCAGTCCAAGACCTCTGAGAGGTAAACAAATGCATGGCCGATCTCCATGCCACTGTCCCTAATCCCTCTAATCTTTTGAGTTCTTTACCTCCAGACAGGACCTGGTATTCAGTACTGGATCTCAAAGATGCATTCTTCTGTTTGCCGCTGACTGTAAAGAGTCAGGATTACTTTGCCTTTGAGTGGAAAGATCCAGAGACTGGCCTAGCAGGACAACTCACCTGGACCCGCCTGCCTCAAGGGTTCAAAAACTCGCCCACCATCTTCGATGAGGCTCTGCACCAGGACCTGGCTGTGTTCCGAGCCTCTAACCCCCAGGTAACTCTGTTGCAGTATGTGGATGACCTCGTCCTGGCAGCGGCTCACAAAGAACAGTGTCTAGAAGGAACGAAGCATCTCCTCACAGAGCTGGGAGAACAAGGCTATCGAGCCTCTGCCAAAAAGGCCCAGATCTGCAAGTGACAGGTCAGTTACCTGGGGTACCTACTTAAAGATGGAGTAACTCAGGGGTCCGATGAGTCTCCTTCAGCATTTCTAGAAAGACTGATGGAGGCATTCCATCGGTTTACCCCATATGACCCTGGTAGTGAAGAGCATAGGGCTACAGTGATGGTTGCCTTTATTGATCTGTCTAGCAGGGACATCAGAAAGAAGGTGCAGAAGCTCGAATGGTTGCAAGATAAGTCATTAAGAGAATTAGTGCAGGTGGCTGAAAAGGTTTATCATAACAGAGTCAGAAAAAGCTAAAAAAATAAAGAGAAAAAAGCACCAAGGGAAAAATTTTCACAGACTTCTGGCCACTGTAGTTAGGAAAACCAGAGAGCCTAATAATATGGTACCTTCTTAAGGATGGAAAAAGATGGTTGTCTGAGGCCAGAAAAGAGACAGTGTTTCACATCCCACCACCCTCTAACCCAAGGCAAGTCAGAGAATTTTTAGGTACTGCTGGGTTTTGCTGCCTGTGGATACCTGGATTTGCTGAGATGGCAGCCCCGTTATATCCCCTCACTAAGAACAGTCAGCCCTTCAAGTGGGGAAAAGAGGAACAACGGGCTTTTGATAACATTAAAACGGCTTTAATGTCTGCACCGGCTCTAGGACTCCCCAGTGTAACTAAGCCTTTCCACCTGTATGTGGCAGAAAATAAGAGAATTGCAAAAGGGGTCCTAACTCAGAGACTGGGGCCCTGGAAAAGATCGGTAGCATATCTGTCCAAGAAAAAAAAATTAGACCCAGTAGCCACAGGGTGGCCAGCCTGTCGAAGGATCGTAGCAGCAGTTGCCATCCTAGTAAAAGATGCTGACAAATTGACTATGGGACAGAATTAGTAATCTCAGCATCTCATGCTTTAGAGAGTGTTGTCCGCCAGCCCCCCGACCGCTGGCTCACAAATGCTCGCATGACTCACTATCACACTCTGTTACTGAATTCAGACCGCGTTACTTTTGCTCTGCCGCGAGCTTAAATCCAGCCACGCTGCTGCCGGACCCTGACCTCGACCCGCCTATCCACGATTGTCAACAAGTGCTTGCTGAGGCACACGGATGGCGGAGAGACTTGTCGGATCAGCCTCTGATGGAGGCTGAAGCCACCTCGTTCACGGACGGCAGCAGTTTTCTGGAAGAAGGAGTTCGGAAGGCAGGAGCTGCTATAGTGGA